GGGTGTGCAGCTGGCTCACTCCAAGCATGAGTCTCAGCTGGATGGGATGCCATGGAAGAAGGTGCAGAGATGGAAGAGAGAATGAATGATGAGGCTGTGCTAAAGCAAGGGAAGACACCAGAATTCTGAGGTGGCAAGCTAGCACAGGACACAGGGCCTTGAAACTAGACCTCACTTCTGCCATCAAGGAAACAGAAAGCTGGCAGCATCCGGATGAATGGCAAGCCAAAATTTCTCCTTGTCCGCATCTGTCAAGATCTGATTGTGAGCTTTGTAGCAAAGACTGTGCAGATGTTGGAAGGGAAGGCAGAACTGGGTATGTTCAGTCTGAGTAAGACAAGACTGAGAGGTGACTTGATAGCTGCCTACAAGTATGTCAGGGGGGAACACCAAGATCTAGGGGAGCAACTCTTCAGAAAGGCACCCCTTGGGAGGACAAGGACCAGTGAGCACAAGCTAATTGAGGAAAAAATAGGTTGGACATAAGGAAAAACTTACTTTCCATAAGGGTAACTAGATTCTGGAACACACTCCCAGCAGAGGTGGTACAGTCGCCATCTTTCAAGGTGTTCAGGAGGAGGCTGGACAAGTACCTTGTTGAGTTTGTTTGAGCCCAGTAACCTCCTGCCCATGGCAGGGGACCAGACTTGATGATCTTACAGGTCCCTTCTGCTCCTTTGATTCTGTGATTCTGTAACCTAACGTGATGGGGTCATGAACTGTCCATGGTCCCTGGGAGCTACTACAGTAGAAAGAAATAACTTGGGAAGTTTGCTGCAAGTGGAAGAAACTGGATGCAAGTCATGAAGGAGTGGGTAAGGCATGGTCAAAAGTGCCCAGTTCCTTCAATCTAGGAAGAGCTGACAGTGTTTAGGGTTGGTAAATAATTTATGAATGAGTGTGAAGGTTGAACAGGAAGAAATGTTCTTGTTATTAACAACATCTGTTTGCATGTCAGGCTTATTGAAGCTTGCAAGTTGACCTACTCTTTTTCTCCATCAGGTCCAGCAGCAGCAGCAACAGCAAACAACTTCAAATAAGCGACCCAGTAATAGTGCCCCCCCACCAACACAGCTGAATAAGATCAAGTACTCGGGAGGACCCCAGATTGTAAAAAAGGAGCGACGACACAGCTCCTCTCGCTTCAACCTGAGCAAAAACCGGGAGCTACAAAAACTCCCTGCCCTTAAAGGTAAGGATGTTGTAGGGTTGCGAGTGCATGTGCCTGGCAAGCCTTAACCTGGATTCTTAGAAGCATTTTCCAAGCAGAACAGCAACAGATAATTCAGTACAGTTATGCTAATCTTGGCATCTGCAGTACTGTAGGGAAAACATCTGTCACTGCCTCAAAACCAGCCTAAGTACTGAGAGCTTCTAGCAAGTTGCTGTGAGATGTTCTCCCACCGGCCCATGAAAGGGTTGCATCATCACTATCTGGAAGATGATGTACTTCAGTACCATTGCATTATTCCACTGGCTCCCTCTCATGGTAGGGTATCTTAGCCTCTAATTAAAGAGCCCTTCTCTTTCAGAGGGAACAAAGAAATTGTCATAAGTGCTGTCTTGGGGTGGGGGGGTCCTCTTCCCTCATTTATCTGCCGCTCCGACTCCCTACAGAATAAGCTTTCAATCTTCTCTGGACTCTCAAGAGCATGTCCTTTTGACAGCAGGATTTTAGGAAACCCATCTCCTTGATCGTGAGATTAATTTGCATCCTGCAGAGAGTCTGGGTCCTTCTCCAGCATGAGGATCTATACCTGGGTCCCTTTGCACCAAAGTAACTTCCACACCAGTCTCTATATTCTACTTGATTTTTTTTCCACCATGGCTGTTTCCTGCACTCTTGCCTGCTGTCTTGACTCCCTCCCAGTTCAGAATCCCTGTGTAAGTCCCACCTTGCTTTCCCCACCCTCCTCTCCTCATACCTCGGACAACCCCAATGCCTTTCTTCTCACTAAGGAAGCACTTTTGCATTTTATTTCCTACTTTCCTGGAAAGTTTGCCTTTAACTTTTTATCAGAGATGAGGTTGTGGGGGGACAGACTACTATGACAGGGTGCTTGGTGCGCGCCTGTTACTTTAACAGGAAAGGCTGCTTGGGGAGCACCTGCAGGTGGCCGGGGGGCTGATTAGGGATTCACCTGCCCAGGAGGGGTCCAGGCTTGAAGTTCATAAGCCCATGGCCTAAGCTGGCCAGGTAGTCTACCCCTGAGTACCTGTGTGAGAGAAATTCCCGTTAGCAGGACTCCTGATAACCACTGAGCTGGGGTAAGTAGCACTGAGCCCAGGAACAGACCAGGCCTTGAAACAGATAGGCCTGGGGGATAGAGGTAGTGGCTGGAGATTGGTGGTTGTGGGAAAGACTGAAGGGGAGGCATGGAGGTCTCAACTGGCCGAGTGAAAGAAAGATGGGCCAGAAAAATAGGGGGCCTGGGGCCCAGAAAGAGAGCAGTTGAGCCCAGGGAGGACTAGGTACTTGGGAGAACATTTGGTGGCTGGTGGGGACCAGGAGAGTCTGGTGCCTTGGGCCTGCCAGAGCCTGTAGCCCATTGGGCTGGGAGCCTGTAGCCCATGCCTGACATTAGCAGATCACTTGCGAGGGTTGGGAGTAGGTATTAGCGAGGATGGAGTCCATAAAACTAGCAATTACCTGCCATTGCCTTAAGGCAATGACCAGGAGTACCTTTGGTCCTAAGGGTAAGACCTGGCTTGGGAAACCCTGGGTCAGCCTACCTTTCATCAGAAATTGATATCATCAAGGTGTGGCAGGG